AGCTTCTCACAGAAGCTGCCCCTGTAGCCCCCCACTACCAAGACCTTGCCACAGATACCCAATACAGCAGATGACCTTATTGTAGAAGGGTATCAGATTAGTTAGACAGGGCTTTCCCTTTGTGAACCCATGTTGACTATGCCTGATGATTGCATTGTCCTCGAAATGCCTTTCAGTAGCACCTAGTAGGATCTTCTCCATAATTCTTCTAGGTACTAAGATTAGGCTAACAGGTCTGTAGTTACCTGAGTCTTCCCTCATGTCCTTCTGGTACATGCGAGTAACATTGCCTAGCTTCCAGTCAGCAGGGACCTGCACTGACTCCCAAGACCTTTGGTAGATGATTGAGAGAGGTCCTGCTGTAAGATCCGCTACCTCCTCCCACCAGGCCCCATGGACTTAGGAACGCTCAACAAATACAACCAGACCCTTACAATTTCAGGGTCCACAAATGGTAAGTCACTGGTCCCACAGCCATGGTCCTTCAACTCAGAGGATCAGGGAGCCAAAGGTCTATCACTACAATTAAAGACAGAGGCAAAAAAAACACTGAATGCCTCCGCTTTTTCTGCCTCCCTATTTGCAAGGTGACAATCTTCATCAAGTATTGGCCCAATGCTTTCCTTAGACCCCCTCTTGCTATTAACATACTTAAAAAGTCTTCCATGTCTGACACAATACCGGCCAGTTTCAACTTGAGTTGAGCTTTGGCCTTTCGTGCCATTGGGACCTGGGTCTTTCTTTGAGGCCTGGCAGCAGCTCTTGGTGCCAAACCCAGCAGCCACCTTCTATACCTCCCCTCACCCTGTGTGGCAAGCTTGGCTGCAAAGGGGTCACAGAACGGTGCGTGAGAGGAGGGTGAGGGGCCCTGGAGAGCACGAAGATGCGCTGCCTTTAATGTGGGGTTCACTAACAGCAGAGAGGAGCTGTGCTGGGGGAAGTCCTGCAGAGACTATGCGATGGGGAGGGGTGGTGAGGTGGTGGTGGTGGGCACTGGGGAACTGACAGTGCCCATCTGCCACAGAGGGGTACTTTCCAAATGGAGAAGAAGAAATGCCAGCTCCCAGGCTGGATCTGGAGGAATGGGAAAAAAGCCTGTGCTTAAGGGCAGCAGCACACCCATCTTTCATGGCTTGTGTCCCGTAGCACTTGAATGGAAGGAAAGAGGGCCCAGCAAGACCAGAGAACCCAACTCAGTGGTGCTCCGATCAGCACAGAAAGGCCCTTCAGGTCCGTAGGGCCAGGCCCCATGTCGCTTGAATCAGGGGAAAGGGCCCCTGGAGAGAGGACAGAGCTAGATGCCATGGCACCTTGCTGAAGGGAAAGGGGCCCTGCAAGTGCAGAGGGCCAAGACCCATGGTGCTGTGCTCTGGGGACGGATGCACTCCAAGAGCACAGGTCTAGCCCCATGGTAGTCAAAGCAGGGCAACAAGGCTGTGCAAGACCAGAGGGAGAAAGCCCCACGGTGCTCTGCTAAGGATGAAAGGAAACAGTGGCCCCAGCCCCAGGAAAAGGGAGAGAAAGTGGTACAGATGGGGATAGCAACACCACCTGTTAGTAACGCCAAGACTTTTCCTTCAGTTTTCAGGCCTTTATTTTCTTTTACTGATTGATAATTAGACTTAGAAGGCCGTGAGCCCTTCAGGGCCAGCACGTGACCCAGCTGCGGTCCTAGCCACTTTCAGCACCGCCTGGGGCATTGTTCTAGTGCTGCTGGTGGGGTGGCCTCTTCCTGGCTGGAGAATAGGCCTCAGGGCTGCCAGCCCTTCTCTTTGGGGGTCGCCATGGCTCCCCAGGGGAGCATTCGCTGCCCCAGCCGGAAGCAGATGGATGTGCCATGGCCTCCTCAGACTCCTCCAGGGGCTCCTCTTGCTCCCCAGAGATAGGAATGGGGGCAGACGGGCTCCCAGGACCCCCATGAAGGGCACCTGCTGAGGTGCTGGGGAGGACATCCACACTGGTTCTTTCAGGGCTGACAGAGGGGTCCGGGCCAGGTGTGGGAGACCTTCTTTGGGAGGAAGCAGTGCGGTTTTGGAGGGAGGCCCCCAGCAGTGAGACCAGTAGATCTTCATCCAGCCCAAAGAGAACCAAGAGGGACATGATGAGGCCCTCCACTATGTCTGCCCGTGAACGCTGGTTCCCAAAGATCAGTCCCAGCTCCTGATGCACCCAGGTCAGAAGGGGCTGGAGGAGGGCTGGGTGGTCCCAGAAAAGGGATGCCCAGGTGTTGGGCCGAAGGCTGCCCAGAGCCCAGCCCCACAGGCTGTGGTTGTGTTCCTGCAGAGTGACGGAGCCTGTGGGCAGCTGTATGGCCAGGAGCTACTCCTGCCTGGTGGCTGACGGCTGATGACGCCGCAGATGGCGTGACGACATGCTCTTCAAAGTTGTCATCCGCCTGCACTGAGAGCATGATGGAGATCTTCCTCTTGCAGAGGGGGCACTCGGGCTTCCTCTCAGCCCACTGCAAGATGCACAGGTAGCAGAATTGGTGGAGGCATGGTGTCACATAGCTGGCCTCCTCCCAGATGTCCAGACATATTGAACAGCAGTTGTCCAGCTCCATGGCCATGCTCTCAACGTGCTGCAGTGGCCTGGGGGGAGCTGGGGATGTTGAACCCCTCCCTCTCACTGGCACTGCAGCAGCGGGTGTCACGCTAGGAAAGGAAGAGAGGCCACAGTCATTGGCTGGCCTGGGGAGGGGTGGAAGAAGTGCCCAGGTCCCTCAAGAAGGAAACCCTCCCAGCTCTCAGGCCAGAGTGAGGTGTCCGCGCATAATCACCTCTACTGTTGCAAGTGCACCTTTCTGGGTGCCCCAGCTGCCAGAACCTGGCAGGGCTGGGGAAAATCCTTCAATAGCTCTGGGGTTGGGCACAGAGAGCTGCAACAAATAACTCCCTGAGCAGGACACCAGCACCAAAGGCTTCACTCAAGACTCCCAACCTTGTGAACTCACTCAGCTGGAGTGCGAGCACAGGACAGCTGGATGAGACTCAGTGCCCAGATATAAGCAGCCAGGGTCGCATAGTCACAATCCATTGGTCAGGGACATCATAGTCCATCGCTTGGAGATGTCACAACTCAGTCTGTGGTTATATGAGAACCCGTAGCTTGGGAACTCGGTGACAACAGAACCCATCACTCGGGGACGTCACTGTCCATTGCTTGGGGATGTCACAACCGGCCATCCTCACCCACAGCGTTTGCCCTGGCAGCGCTGCGGCCGGAGCACACGCATCTGGGGTTACTGCAACACCACTGTTCACTCCATCCCTCCATCTCTTGTCTTGTGCTCAGCATCGGTCACTGAGACCTCAGCTGTGTCTTCCCAGGGCCTTGTCAGGTCGCTCTGGCCATGGCAGATGCCTCCAGGCACATATGGCAAGGGGGTTCATTTGATAACGCCTCATGCCTCCCTTGGTGGGCATACCCCAGGAAAAGGGGGAGAAAGCAGCATGGGTGGGGATAGCAACACCACCTGTTAGTAACATCGGGCCTTTTTCTGCAGTTTTCAGGCCTTTACTTCCCTTGACTGCCTGATAATTAGAAGGCTGGGAGCCCCTGAGGGCCAACGCGTGCCCCAGCTGCTGTCCCAGCCCTGTTTTCAGCACTGCCTGGGGCATTCTCCTGGTGTTGCTGACCTCCCCAGACTCCCAACAGCTTTGGTAGATGGGGTCCTGCTAGCTCCTTCAGTACTCTGGGATGAATCCCAACAGGCCCCGCGGAGTTACAGACATTCAGCTGACATGACTGCTCCCTTACAACTTCCACGAAATGCACTCCGGCCCCTCCAGGGCCCAGGCATGCCCCTCTGAACCCATCTACGCTGCCACGGCGTCACACCTACAGAAAATGCACCAAGCACTATGTGGGTAGCGAGAAACACCGAGCAGCCTTGTCTGGGCAGATGGCTGAAACGACCTGCCGAGGTCCCTTTCTGGCGGGTTTTTTTTTCTGGTACAAACGGACACCTCACAGAAGTCCCGGCCAGGGCACAGGCCATGCCAGCCGGGGACGGCCCCCCACGGGCCTTTAACCCTCACCCTGCGGCCTGCCTACAGGGGCCGCCGGCCCATCCCCCTCTCCTCACGCACGCCCCCCGCCTCCTCGCCGCGGGGCCCAGGCAG